TTTTTGTTCTTTCTTTCTCTGTGTATGAAAGTGAAGTAATTGAAAATGCAATACAAAAGCCTGTCTTCCTCTTCTAATTGTCAGTGCTGACAGATGATGGGAGAATCTCAGCTGATAGGCTTTTGCATAACAGTGGCAATTGTATGGTGATTTTTTTAGTGAAGTTTTATACTTGTCGCCTTGTGTAAATTTGTTTTAAGGTGCATAGAGTCTTTATGTAATTGCAGTGGTCTCATTACACCATTAGTTAGAACAAGAATTGAGAAAAGCATATTTTGGTAAGCTGCAGAACATTTTCTTTGTTTATTTTTTTCAAAGTATTTGAGCCAACCACAGGGCCCATAAACCAGATTATTCCTAGCGTCCTGTCCAAGTCTGGATTAACAGGGAGGATTGCATCAGGAAGGGCACCCAGTGTATAATCTTTGTTCAAATTAAACAAGTGAATGAAAAATAAGATTTCCAAACCAGAGCAGACGAGGGCCAGGCTAACAACAACCACTAGTTACTAGGTTACCAATGAAAACTTTGCTACTGAAGAGGAAGACAGTGAGAAGGTGTGTTTGGAGACAGAAGGAAAACTGGGAGTGTAGAGGTGAGACTACGGACTTAAAATGTAGGTACTACAATATCTGGAGCTTTAGTGTGACAGGAGACAATGTAACAGATAGGGTGTGAAGGAAGGGAAATAGATCGTTTGCTATAGTGACCCCTAAAGGGAGCAGCCAAGAGAAGATTTGATTAGTCACCGAGGTGCAGTGGAGGAAGCTGTTTTTGATTTAGTTGTATTTTTCCTGGTAAAAAGACATTTCAGGAAGTGTTTTAGCCTACTGACCTTCATTAGAGCATATTTTTTCAATAGTTTGCTGTTCAGTTGCTGCATATTTCAACACGTTACAAACCCCAGCAGTGCTGCATCCTTGGTGTTTTTTATTTTATTGATCATTGAGGGTTAAAAGATGAAATTAAAAATAATTGTTGGATCTGTCTACCAACAGTCGGCTTGTGTGAATTACTTACACACGAGAAGTTTCACAGCTCTGTGTCTCTCCAGTGCTCACAGCTGGAGGAATTCAAAAGAGAGCCTGCTTTGTTTTTAGCTAAAAAAAATTGTTGATACAACCACTTATTTTATAAAGTGGTAAATAAAATAGTAAATAAATACATTTAACAGCTTCCCAGTATCCAAGAAAAGAAATCTCCTTATTAATAACTTTGTAAATTCAGTGGTGTAAAATCCCAACGTATTTATATGACCCAAAGAATAGAACATTTTAGAAGTTTAGGCCAGCAAATGTTTGGTATTTGGTGACAATGAACGGCCAATTAATTTTTTTCGACTAAAAAAACACAAGAAGAATGGATATAAAAACAATTTTTACAGTTTTCTTCAGAAATATCCTTTAATTAGCTTTAAAGTTACCCAAAGCTAATTAACTTTAAAGAGTTTTCTTTTCCCTTCTTCTATTCACTCGCTTTAATCAGGTATAATTTAGGACCGTTATTGCAAAAAGTGACCTCAGAGATAAAGTAAAGCTTAGCTTAGCTGTCCAAACACGCAGCCCACGAGAAACAATTCCCACAGTAGGGGTGGGTGATATAGACACAAAATGATATCACAACATTTCAAGAAAACTTCTAGTATTTTTGACAAAATAGAAAAAACTCCTGAACATTTTATTGATGCTAGCAGCCTGCAAGTTAATGACGAGTATTTTTCCATCCTTTTTTCAATTGAGTCTACTGAACCAAAGAGCCAGCAGTAGCAGCAGCCATAGTGCAACAGTGGTGACCCAGCAGTACATTAAGTGACACCACATAAATCAAGCTGCTTTGCTAGTGTTTTCCCTGGAAATTTAAGTAATTTTATGTTAAGCAGGTATCTTAACACTTTTATTGAACGGTAACTAAAGTAACTTGACCTTGTAACTTTTCAAAAGCCGCACAAATATTATCAGATAATAAAACTGGAAAATATTTTCTACCTTTGATGGGTTGTGTCTTGGGTCAAGCTTTTTAAACCAGCTGCTTAAAATTTCCATCCACTCCATGTGACCTTCCTGTCATGTGGAGTGCAGCTAGCTATGAACTAGCAAGTGCAAATACCCAGCACAACTAGTCAGCGCACCAACAACACATGTGGAGTCATGCGCCTATATCTGGGTTGACGTCCAATCACCAAATGCTGGAATCTCCTACTTGTAGCCTGGTTATACTCAACAGTTTGTTTTTGCATCCAGGGGTGAAATGAGTCGTTTTCACCTTTTGGGGGGAAACATTTTCTTGCATATTCTGCAAAGCACTGCTCATGATCGAAGGTTATTAAAACAGCTACTCTTTTAGATGCTAAATTATGACATGGTGCTGTTGTGCTCTGATGTGCCTGGGCTAGTTTGTGTTATGTTGCTATAGCAATGATATCACAATAACGATAGTATTTTCAGATATAATAAAAGATTTAGGGTGTATGGCCCAGCCCTATACCAAACTTCTACAGTACATTAATAAATATAAAGTACTAAAAATTCTCCACAGGAACATTTTTATAATTCTCATTCTTAGGCTCTCCTTTTCTTTCCCCTTCATTTCTCCCTCGTTCACTGTATTCCTCCGTTCTCCGACTCGCTTGTTTTGATCGACAGTGCTTTCCACAGGATGAAGTGTGACATGTGGTGTGTATGTCAGTGTCTGTCTCACTGTTTACTCTGAGCTAATACTGACTCACTCCATTAATCTGAGCTACAGAAGATCCACTCCAACCTGCCCACTTGAGAGCGTGTGCGTCTCTGTGTGTTTTAGGTGTGTCTTCACAGTGAACACATGCACGCACGTCTTCCTTGTGTTTGTGTCACCCAATATGCATTTTCCTGTCTGAATGTGTGCGTGCACGTCTGTTGTGCATGTGATGTAATAGAACGAGGAATGAGCGTTTGCGGGCTAGAGCTTCCAGATCGATGCAGAGATGCTTTATGTGCTCCTGTCTGCTCTAATGATGTGTCTGTAAATTAGCAACAGAATGGTGGAGCACTACACTGAAACCTAATGGCACCTCTGTAAATTACCGCTACAATGCTGCTGGACGGCTGCGTGTGTTCCCATTGTGAACAACACACACCCACCCCTTCTCGCTCTGCCACCTCATCTACATTTGGCTCCGTTTGCGTGTGTGTGTGAGAGAGTGAGTGAGTATGTGTGATTGTGTTAACATTTGTGGCTGGTCTTTCTGTGTACGTTTGTGTGTGGGGGTCTCCTTTTTCTTCGCTCCTCTCAGTAAAGACTAGCCCGAGGCCCTGAGTTGGTAATAGCTTTTCTGACAGCAATACACCAATATTTACAGAGACCAGCACCCACCCACACCCCCGCACATTTCATGCACACATAAAAAGCATATAGTTGTCTACACTTTCAAACGCTTGAACGCGAAGTCGCACGCAGTTTTTCTTTTTCTCTTTGAGGCATGCAGACACATACTCTTAATTAACATGCTGGGAGGGAAGGAATCACACAACACAATGTGTTGTTTCTCACTCATATATTGGCATTCACACTTTGGATTTTTTTTTTTCATGCAACTAAAGCAAAGAAAGACAATTTGCCACAATTGGCCTTTGAATTGTGATATATTCTCACTTTTTCCTTCTCATTATTCTCTCTGTGTTATATTCACTCAAGTGCGGCCGATTCCATTTCAACATCCCTCTCTCTGCCTCTCACTACCTTAATAACCTATTACACTTCAGTCTATTCATTATATGGCATCTTTCCCCCCCTCTTCTCCTCTCCAGCGGTTCCTCACCAAGTGTCTCTCCTGCTCCAGCTTCACCTAGCGTGTGCTAAATCCTCCTCTGTTCCCCTCGTCATTGTGAACTACAAGATGGTGGTTATGCCAGAGGCTCCACAGAGCAAAGAAAAAGAGGCCAGTGAGATGTGAGGAGAGGAATGGTGGCATGAGGCCAGGAGGGAGGTGTGAGAGCTATAGGGATGGTGGTGAGGAGAACGCTGGAGCAGATGCAGAGGAAGGGTGATGTTTTTGAAGGTGGGGGGAGGTGAAGAGACAGATAATGTCGCCCCTACTTGTCTATGGCAGCACGATAGTATGATCATTTTTGCGGATGTGTGCGTAGGTGTGCATATTTGTTCTGCTGCTGGCTTGCGTATAGAGTAGTGTGTGTAGGTGTGAGAGCAGATAAGTGAATGCGAGCTTAAGTATGATGGATTGTAAAACCTTGGTCTAGTGTCCTTGTGGGTCACTAAGGGTGTGCAAGGTAAGTTGCTACTGGCTGTCTGCCTGTTACTGAATTCTAATTGGCCACTCCTACCTGCTTTGGCTGCCATTATGCTTGCAGGCTGCTCTTCTCCATCTTCATCGTCGGTTTTTGCCATTCACTTTTAAAACTTCCCTAACCTTTGCTGCCGCCACACACACATACGCAGACACTTACACATTTCTGGCATTTAACAAACATCATGAAAGGAGCCATGTTGTCAAACAAGAGCACCTCACTTTAGACTGCCAACACAGCTGTTCTCTCAAAAGAGAGACAGGTTTCGTAACGAGTTTGGAATGCTACAGACTCACGACTGTCTCCCGCACATCCACACTGTTTAATCTCTAACCCACATGAATGATCAAAGCTTGTTTACACACCACTCTGTGGTACAATTAGAGGTATGGAAGGAAGTGTTTCTTCCAAGTGCTGGCATCAGTGAGGCTTTGCTTGACAATAACAGCATTTTCAGCATCTTAAACAATATGTTTTGTACTGCATATCCGAATCAAATTTAACCAGGCCCAGCTGAGCTTTGTTTTACTCAGCTGGCTCTGATGAACACCCACCATTTTATCATCTTTGAGCATTTTGTGAAGAGCAGTGTGGGAAGAAGTAACATAGCTTGGAAAATGTACCACTCATTATGATAATGCTTTGGCAACAACGTAATGGTTCCATGCTTCTGTTTCCTCCTCTTCTCCCTCTTCCTCCTCTCCCTTTGCCTCTCAGCTCGCGAGGAGTACGTCGCCACCTTCAAGGGCTCAGAGTACTTTTGCTACGACTTGTCGCCCAACCCCATCCAGTCTAGCAGTGATGAAATAACGCTCTCCTTCAAGACACTGCAGCGCAATGGCCTCATGCTGCACACCGGCAAGTCAGCTGACTACGTCAACCTGGCGCTCAAGAATGGGGCAGTGTCACTTGTCATCAACCTCGGCTCTGGGGCCTTTGAGGCTTTGGTGGAGCCCGTCAACGGAAAGTTCAACGACAACGCTTGGCATGACGTCAAGGTCACCCGCAACCTGAGACAGGTAACCAAACAACAGGAGATGGAGGAGTAAGCGAAACAGAGAGGAGAGGAGACAATTTATGTTACTGATAAGGCTTTTGGGAAGAAACATTTTCAGTCATGTAGAGAGGGACATAAAGATAACAAGGATGAGTGGAAGTTTTACTGATAAAATGCTTGGTAAATGGCAGAATGAAGTAAAGCACAATTTGAAAATATTTTAAGATGTCAAGATAAAAAAAATACTTGTTCCAGCTTCTCAAATGTGACAACATTGTGATTTTGTTTGTTTGTTTTTTTATTTCATTAGCTTGTTTGTGAAGTTTAGACCTCAGCTGGGGTTTTCAGAAACTTTGCATTTAATGTCTGTTATTGTACAGGATTGTATTCAGGCTATAGGTGCAGGCAACACAGCACTCCTCATATCTCGTGGCACTGATTCTCTGATGAGATGCACAGAAGCCAGAAGAAGCAATGAAAAAAAACAAAAAAAAAAACGTGCATACTAAAAGGCTACGCCAAAACAATAATTTCGTTTGCCTGAGAAATAATTGACTCATTAACCAAATGAAGATGTTTATTAGTTGCAGAATTAATTCTGACTCCTTGTTAAATCGCTCTTTATTTGACTTTGATGAACCACAGTGCAGGTGTTCCAGGGCCACACGGGGCTGAAAAGACTGTAGTCAGCAGAGGGATGCTAAACAGTGTAGAAACCATGGTCAGTGGTCTGTTGTCCAATTGCAGTGATGCTATGGTAGTAAGAAAATACCTGAGGTTTTGGTCTTAGTTTACAGTGGCTTTACCAGCAGACCTGCACTGCTCTCAGCTCTAGGTGAGTGCATTTTCAATTGTGTGTTTGAGTGAGTGAATGACTGAGAGAGTGAAAGAGCGAGGGAGTGGACTAGAGAACATACAGGGTCACTAGCACCCAGGTGCTTGTAACCTACCTGTGCCCTGCCTCTACCGTTTGCCTGTCTGTACTACTAACTTGACTACTAACTTTACTAACCTGCTAGTGAAACTAACCACCATCCATGGAATGATTCATTCTACTAACCTAACCTGTGCCCTTCTCCTAGCGAAACCACTCCAACCAACCTACTAACCTCACCAGAGGCCTTCTAGCTTTCCTTTTTTTGTTCCCGAGGTTGTTCTGTTCACAGTTTTTTGCTTTCCTTTCTCCCCCTCTCCTACAAAGCACTCAGGCATTGGACACGCTATGGTAAACAAACTCCATTGTTCGGTAGATATCATTCTAATTGTTTCTTAGTTTGGGTTTGCCCCGTGTCTATTTCCTTTTGAACCATAGACATCAAAACTAAACCAATAACAGGATAAATGCGGTTGGTAATCTTTTACGCTTAAAAAGCCCACATCCACCTTCCTTGCCAACCACTTTTTTTCTATAAATCCTTTCCCTCCCTTACTTCTACTGTTTTTATTTTCACCCCATCACTTTGTGACTGACATGTAGGCCCACGCTGATTGGCTCATCCCTCACCTGCACGCAAATGACGAGCCCTCCCTTTCCCCCATCCTGCATGGCGTGACTCAAAAACCCTTCCCCTCTCTAATTGGTCCGTAAAGTGGATAGAGAGGTTCCTTCCCTTCTTTTTTTAAATTCTTTTTTCTTTTATTTTTCACCAATCCTCCACTGCATGTTCTCCATGGTGCCTCTAACTCATCCTGTCGTATGTTGTTGGGGTTTTTTTGTATTTTATTATCTATTGTGTCCTCTTTGCCAGTGCTTGCATGCAGAGAGAGGAACAGACTGCATGTTTGTATATTTATGTGTGTGGAATGAGACGTAACCCATCTAACACCTGTGCGTGTGTGCATTAAATCTGTGTGTTTGTCATCCTGATTCGCTGATCTAACAAACCCCCCCCAGACCACTAACTAACCAACTAACACCATCATCACAATTCACCCTAACAACACAATAACATAACATCATCACAATGACTAACAGCATTGAAATCATGAACCCTGACCTCAGTAACCCAACACAGCTTGGCCTGACACAAGTAACACTTCTGTGGCTGCCAACAGTGCAACAACTAACAACTACTAACAAGTAAATAGTACTAACACCTTACTGCATAGCACGAAGATGCCTGCGGAGACTTACTAACACCTGACTGGCTGGGCAAGTTTGCCTGGCAATGATGAGCACCAGCAGTCAGAGGGAACTTATTGTAGTGGGGAAATAAAGAGCTCACAACCTTTATGGGCAGCCAGACATGGTCAGTAATGTACTGTAGAATATCAGAGAGTGATAATGTACCACTAACGGTGACTTGAGTGTGACAAGATTGGATATCAGTGACACCTAAAAGCCTCTGTACAGGCTATTACACACCAAAATGAGCTGATTAAATTATAAGAGCACCAGTGTCACTTTAGGCAAAGCATTTAGGAAAAATCTTGTTAGCACATTAGGAAATAAATCAAATTGCGTCTTCTGCCTAGACCGTAAAGCAGCTTAAGCGTACGAACCATAAACATAAGTTGGAAAATTTCACTGATATGGGTTAAGTTGGCTTTTCCTTTAATAAACAAGGCTAACCTTTTAGCAAAATCACTATGGTTTAGTCTATTTTTTACCATGCAGTCACAGAATAATAAACTGCCTTTGAAGTCTGGGTACCGAGAGAATTGTGGCCCTGAAGCTTTGGGTTTCAGCAAAACTTTATTAATCGCATAGAGAATTTACAATAGACTTTTTGCTCTTGATAGGCCGAAGATAGAAGATTATGCCGTTTTAATTCTCAGAGCGCACAAAAGAAAAATGAGAGTTTACCACTACCTGCAGGAGTGAGCGGTATTTAGCAGTGCATAGTTACATATTTCTGAAGCCGGTTACATCAGCAAAGCCAAGAGGCGACACTACTCAGTTACACCATACAGCCAGCACTGATCCAACTGCTGCGAATCAAAGTGGCCAATTCCCAAAACCAATCAGGCCTTCTCCCTGCCAGAATGCATATAGATTGGTTACCAGAGCAACGGGGGCTAATTTGGCTGGTCAGCGCCTAGCTAGCGCTTAGCGCTGCCTTTGGTGTGAGTATATAGCGTGTCCTTTCCCTGTGCTTTGTTGTGTAGGTGACCATCTCTGTGGACGGCATCCTGACCACCACGGGCTACACACAGGAGGACTACACCATGCTAGGCTCTGATGACTTCTTCTACGTGGGAGGAAGCCCCAGCACCGCTGACCTGCCTGGTTCTCCAGTCAGCAATAATTTCATGGGATGTCTGAAAGAGGTGGGGCACATGCTTGATAGGTAAAAAAAAAAAACAACCTAATTATTGGCATAGGATAAAACTTTGCATGTGTAAAATGTCTTTCTAAGTGCTTAATGCTGTCCGCTTTGACCTAAGGTTTAAGAAATATTCATTTAAACTAAAATAAATTTTCTTTCTTCTGCCACGCATCACACAAACATTTTTACACACAATATCTTATAAAGCACACATACACCGACATGCTTCCATTTGGCAGACTCACACAAGTAGTCCCAGACACACACGCACACACCCTCCCCAGCATCAGAGAGAATCAGTGATGAGTGTAGTTGAGAGAGTAGATACAGAACTAAGCACTAACATGCTAATTAGGTACGCCACAGAGATGCTCCATCCATCCACTGTGCTTGAAATGGGCCACAGCACCACAGAAACAAAAACTCACAATGCACACATGCATGCATGCACAGAAAACACAGTCGTAGTGTAATATTATATGCCCAAATATTTCCGCTGAAACAGTTGCTGCACGCAAATAAACATACGTATGGATACCCAGAGCTTGATACAACGAAACTCCCAAAGACATCCTCACGCCCATCGGATACACACCCTGCCTGAGTCTCCCTTTCATTCACGCAGATTCACACAGAGGCATAAACAAACAACCAAACAAGCCAACAGATGATGTGCCAAACAGAGAGCTATCTGTATCAGTAGTGAATGCACTCTGTGTTGCTTCATTAAGAGTGATGATGTTTAAATGAGGCTGCCGCTGTCAAAGTGAACCCTCCACTGGCACATTTACATATTTAATACGATGATATGATAATCCATGTGAGCAAATTAAGATGTATGCTGCGAATCATCATATGCATGAGCAATCACGGCTGTAACAGTTTTGTGCATTGGATGCAGCACAGGCACAATCCTCCCCATAAACACCCACACCGTAAGACCGTTTGAAGCACTTGTTGTGTTCAAGAGCCACCCCCTTGCCTTAAACACACACACACAATAGCACCTGACATGCAGAAAATTAAAACGCAGAGCCAATGCAGAGGAGTATTTGGTTGCTCACAGGTCATAGAAGGAGGTCTGGATTAATAAAGCAGAGCCTGTGTGCTCATCTCTCAACATCAGAATGCTCAGCACAAGCACACTCTATACACTGAGTCAGAGAGCGGACTGTGTCAGGGAAAGCAAAGAGAGAAACAGTAAAGCAAAGAAAATAGAAGATGTAAAAGCAATCATGCAGGTGGCAGGGACAAATGGGAGTTTGAAAAGATGAAGCCGGAGTGGATGCTGGTCTTTAGGTTCTTGCTTTCATATAAAAAACCCATCAGAACATTTGAATAGAAAATGTGTTTGAATAGGTTAAACATTAATCGATGTGCGCTCAAAAGTCAATCAATCTTACTGTTGCTGAACCTTTTCATGCATTTTCCCCCAACGTTATCCTGGGAACTGTCACGTGTGTGTTCCCTTACAGGGAAACAGTCTAGCATCATTGTGTGTGCTAGTACATAATGTTTGGCTAGCAGAAAGCGGATAGAGGGATAGTGAGACAGAGACGCAGCGAGAGAGATACATTCCCCCAGCTTACTAATAAGAATTTAGCATTACTTTAATAATCTCTCTATCAGAAATGTTATGTGTGTTGGTTAAAAGTGAAGCAGCATTCAGATATCATTATTTTCTTTCAATCCCCTCCCCTCAAGGTGGTGTACAAGAACAACGATGTACGGTTGGAGCTGTCTAGACTGGCTAAACAGGGAGACCCCAAGATGAAGGTATGCGCTTTAATCAACACGTCCCAACAAGCCAGACAATGCTGAATCCCCTCAAACACCTCATGTCTCGCCCTGTGAGACTCACACTGTAGCGATGTAAATGGGATTATATATTTGAGAGGTAGCCACAAGCTTTTATCTTTTAGCCATTTCACAGCTGGAATCTGGCTTTATTTCGGTCTCAGACTACAAAGGAACCATACTGGTCCAGATAGTCACTACAGCAATTTAACAACTCAACTGTTTTCTGTACCAGGTAAGTGGGGTGGTGTCCTTTAAGTGTGAGAGTGTAGCAACGCTAGACCCCGTGACCTTTGACACCCCAGAGTCTTACGTGGCACTGAGCAAGTGGACAGCGAAGAAGGCGGGATCCATCTCATTTGACTTCAGGACGACAGAGCCCAATGGGCTGATGCTTTTCAGCCACGGCAAACCCCGGCAGCAGCAGCGCAAGGATCCGCGCACACCTCCAACCGTCAAGGTAAAAAAACATTCTAGGCTAACTGTATAATGTATAATGTTGAAATAAATTTTAATGACAGTGTTGATGTTTAGCAGCTATATTTTGGGTCACTGTAGTACAAAGTGCAGAAGTTCATATGAGTTACTTTAGTTTTGAAGGGGTGTAGCCAAATAAACAAAGTATTAGGTATTATCAAAGTATACATTTTTCAAAATTCTGATGAAATAGTACAAAATCCATTTATGAAGAACAGAAATTCATTTAGAATATTTTTTATAGAATATTATTGGCTGACCACTCACATACTGCAAGGTGGCTAAATTCATCTCATTAATCTTTTTAGTCTGCTGGATGTTGGAATGATTATCTAGATAGATATGAAGGGATGTTACTTATGAAGAAGGTGGAATGGTCCACTAGTAAGTATACGAACAGTAAGTGGAACAGCGTGCGGGAGTTCAATTGAGCTGTTTTAATGAAGTTTATTCCTCCAACGCATCTGTCGCTTATTAATGTGTACAAAGATTTTGCATCTGAAAATTCAGTTCATTAAAACGGCTACCTTTAATCATCCTCTCTAACAGGGCAGTGACTTTATAATCGTGACTGATATTCTGAGCTTTAGCTGCAGAATTGAGATTTTAAACAAATGAAAGTCCCCACTTCTACAAATTCAAGATGAATAGTTTCTTAATGAGAATTCAAAAAGAAGTAAATTGAACAAATTGCACTCATGTCACACCTGCAACTATAATTTGCATTTTCACAGCTTGCACAAATGTTCCTGTTTGGGTTTTTTTACACCTGTCTCCGGTTCATCTACAGGTGGACTTTTTTGCTATTGAGATGCTTGATGGACACCTGTACTTACTGCTGGACATGGGCTCAGGAACCACCAAGACCAAGGCCATCGACAGAAAGGTCAATGATGGAGAATGGTACCATGTTGACTTCCAGAGAGACGGACGCTCAGGTACAATCGCAGCTCTTTTAATTCTGAAGCTAATAGCAAAAGTTGAACTGACAGTAGCTGTGCACATTTTGAAGCAAGCAGCAGATTAACATGACCATTTTTGCAACCATCTGCATTCTGTATGTATTTAATTCACCTGTTTCTATTGAATCTGACTTTAAGGGGTTTTATTTTGACTATTTTAACCCAATTCATATACAGCAGGTCTGTCAAGTTTATTGTTCATGTGCTGGTATAATTACACTCAGACTAAAATTAAAGCTTTTGGTGGCCTGTTTCGTATCCAACTGGTAGACCCATTAATGCTACTTGACATCATAATCACATTTGCTCTAAACCTTTCCTTTCTGTCACAATTACTGTCAGTAGGTATGTAAAACATACTTGCACAATGTCTTAAAATCATTTTGCAGTTATAGTTATGTGCAAAAGTCTTGAGCCGCCCATCATTTCTTTATACTTTGCTGCTAAGGACCCAGATTCGCTGGTAAGTCTATCGAGTGCTGTGCAAAGTCTTGAACAACACTTCCCCAGGCTTTCTTAAGTTTTTCATTGGACATTCATTGCTTGTTAATTTATTTTTAGTCCAGTTCTTGTACTTGTACTTGTACTTGACCACTGTCAGAGGAATTGTTTTTTTTTTTGTTAAGCAATTTAAGACTGGCCTATGAATCGCTAGATTTGTTGTGTCTATGCATAACAGAAAAATTAGCAAAGAACCCATTTTAAATTGTATCTTTAGGGATCTTTAGGGTTATTAGCTGCCTGTTGCAAAAATACATAATTTGTTCCAAATGTTTTTAAATTTAATCAACTCAAAATACCAAAGATAATACAATTTGGGAGGCATAAAATAGTATTTTTGCACCAACAAGGTGATTCCCAAAAGAGCCAAAAACTTTCCGTATGGTGCGTACTGTGTTGTAAAAAGTGTAGGGACAAATTGGACGAGTGAGGACAAAAGAAGAGGTGGAAAAAAACTATCTACAGCATCTGAACAGCATCTGACAGTTATGTCAAAAGAAAAGGAAACAAATCCAGATACAGGACCTGTGAGATCTGGCCTTTCTGCCAGATCCATCTACTTTCCTACTCTTCTTACTTGTAATCTGACAAGTGAGAGTTACACTAGTGAGTGTCTGTAATTGATGGAGGCTCTATCATGGTTAGTGACTGCATTTCATCCAGTGATGTTGGGAATTTTGTTAAAATTGATGGAATTATGGAATTATTAAAACACTGAAAAGTACCATCAGATTTTGATCTACCATGCAATACCATCTGGAAAGCACCTGATTGCCAATGGCTTCATTTTTCAGCATGACAATGATCACAAAAACAAACTACCAATGCAGTGAAAGCATACCTGGATTAAAAACACACAATGAAACACCATCAGTCATTGATTGCACTCCTCAGTGCCTGTACCTCAACTTTATTGAAGCAGTGCGGGATCATCTTGACTGAGAACATTGCAAAAGGCAGCAGACATCCAAGGAAGAGGTTTGAAGTGGCCTTTAACCTCTTAAGCCCCAAGCCTACCGGATCTCCTGCTTTTTGCCCCCGTATCAGGGGGCGTTGGGGCTTAAGAGGTTAAGAAGCCCGGAGAACTATTCCTGAAGACTTCTTAAAGAAATTAAAAGAAAGCTTGCCATTGAGTTAAGGCTGTGTTGAAGAATAAAGGTTGTCATGTCAAACATTTACTTTTAAACTCATTAGAATTGTACAAGCTCTGTTTTTGCCTTACACATACTCTATTTCCATGCATTTTTGCAGGTGTTTCAATGAACTGGTGCTCCTATTTTTACATTTTCCTAGCAAAATATAAAGAAATGAGGGGTGACTTTATACTTTTGCACAGTACTGTACAGTTCTATTACATATGGGGATGTTTTACACATGTCAGCCTGTTATGAGCATATAGTTATTGCTTGAAACTCTGTGTTAATTACAGAGGTCTGTAGAAGCTGCCTTTCCTCTCAGTGGGAATCCTATTTGTTTGCTCCAACCGCGCGTTACTGTTCCAAAAGGAAATATATTATTAGCAAAAAAAATGTTAAATGTGGCATTTTTTAACTCACAGGGACTACCTGAGGACTGTGTAGAATTTCAATTACTTCTGATTGTAGCTGTGATTTGTGGTGGTGGTGGTGGTGATGAGGAGGAGGAGTACAAAGAGAGGCGCAAGGATGATGATGATAAAGATGATAATGATGGCACTCATAATAGTGGTGCTGGTGGTGATGGTGCTGGTGATGACAGTGGTGATTGTGATGAGGATGTTCACGCTGAAGGTCATAACAATTACTGATATTGTTTTGATGTCTGGCGACGTGTTCAGGAACTATTTCGGTGAACAGTGTAAGAACAGCATACACGGCCCCGGGAGACAGTGAAATCCTGGACCTGGATGACACCTTGTACCTCGGAGGTTTACCTGAGGATCGTGCTGGACTCATCTTCCCAACAGAGGTTTGTGTGTAGATATCATGTGCTATGATAAGCATTCTAGCTCAAATAATTAAAAGAAAATTTCCAGCAAACATCAAACCTTTGATTCCTCACTTTTTCCTGTGTTTTAATATAGTCAGTGTGGGTGTTTAGGACTGGCAGATGATGTCAACTTAAGCTCTAGTAAAGTGTGGCAGTTGCAGACAATAATGAATAACCTAAACTCTCCATATTAAAATTTTTTATCTACATTAACAGAATGTCTGATTCTGCCGGCAATCTACTTACAATATACAGATTTTTTTCTTCTTTTTTTGTAACATTGACCAAGTTAATTTCAATAAAGTCCAGCATTCCAAAGCTGGAGGAGAATGTGCGAGAGAGCTGTTAACAACTCGTGTGCAGCCTGTTACTTGTAATCTGACAAACGTGTAGGTTTTACGCATGTTTCTCCCAGGAAACAGCATGACATCATAGACCAACGAGAAGCAGTGGAAGATTTCTGCGGTAGAATGGGAGGCGTTGGAGGTGGTGTTTCACCAGTTCATTAAAATACATCAAAACAGCAAGGTCCCACTTCTTACAAAGAAGCAACTTTAACACCATTGTGGGCACAGTAAAAAAGTGCCATGCAGAGAGGAAGTTTAAAATAGATGCTATGACCTAAAGAGGTACACTAAACAGAAGTCATTGTTTATAGTGCTTGTATGGTTGGCAGTGATCTGGGGGAGAAAACTGTGTGCTGTCCATGGTCCTGAACTGTGAAAAAACAGCAGGGAGTTTGAATGTCATGAAGCTGATTTTTGGGTGGCACATAGCCTTAAAAGGATTTATGAAAAATAAGTCTTTGGAATTTTAAATCAAGAACCAGTGGGCGAAAAATAAAAGTTTGAAAGAAACATTTTGGTTCCACCTGCATTGAATGCTTTCTTATAGTTCAAGGTTTCAGGTCGTTTTTGATTTCCTCCAGCAGATTACGGAATAATTTGCCATGGCAATCAGCATGTCTTCAATTCTCCTGGCATTCAAATATATTAACACAATTGGAGAAATTTCTTTAGCTTGCAGCATGTGCTCTCTGTTCTTGGCAACATCTAGCCTTGTCAAGCACAGAGTGACTTAACATATCCTTTTTTATTTCTTTTGCTGTCTTTCACCTCTTATTGTTAGTAATTTGGTAGTATTTTAACTCCAGGGTAAAACTGACCGTAAGTCTCCAGTACTTAATCAATAGTGATTTAATTTACTGACCACAACTTACTGAGTGAATTTACTGAGCAACAACTTACTGAGCACTTGTGTCTGCTAATCGAAAGGTCGGCGGTCCCTAGCTCTTCCTGCCCACATGCCGTAGAGTATTTACCAAAGACACTGAACTCCAAATTGCACCCACCAGAGTATATGTGAAAGTTAGAAAAACGTAAGGCATAGACTAAAGAGCTGCATGAATGGGTGAATTGGGCTGGTAAAATTACCATTTAAAACATATTCCCAAATATACAGATTATTTTATTATTATGTTCTTGTTTTTGTTGTTTATACTTCTTTCTCCTTTTGGCATGGACATGGAATTTTCATTTGTTTTTCCTGATGTTTTATCAGTTAATTGAGAAAATAACTGGCGGGTCTATAATTGAAATTGATTTTAAAAAATTATATTTGGGGAACTTTTTATGTTAACAATATTAATAGGTATATAAAAAAATTATTAAACTAACTTTTAAAAAAATGCAGCTTATGCATTTTGCAGTGTTTAGAGAATGATTTTCAGCAAAAGGTTTTAGTAATTATAGATGAAACAACCAAGTTTAAACTAATTTTTTGTTTTTAGATTAATAAAAAAAAAGATTACCCCAATACCTGTTTTATGCAAAGTGTGTAAGAAATAAAAATACATCATGATGAAATAAATAAAAGCTGTACAGTGATGATACAAACATTATTTGTTTGTATTTAGTTTTGCAACACACACTGCAAGAGTTTGGACAAATATCCAGTAGTCATGACTCAACACTGGCATCCTCTTCTTCAGGTGTGGACGGCGCTGTTGAACTACGGGTACGTAGGCTGCATCAGAGATCTATTTGTGGACGGGCAGAGCAAAGACATCCGGCGGCTGGCTGAGGCCCAGAGGGCGGTGGGAGTGAAGCCCTCATGCTCCAGAGAGCCGCCCAAACAGTGCCTGTCCAACCCCTGCCAGCACAACGGTATCTGCAGGGAGGGCTGGAATCGCTATGTGTGTGACTGCTCTGGGACGGGCTACCTGGGACGCTCCTGTGAGAGAGGTGAGAATAACAGGGTAGGAGGCTGGGGACGAAGAGCAAGAGAAATGCTAATGTCTCCTTTTCACAATGGAGATGAGTAAGAGAGTTAATTAAAGTCAATGCACAGCCACATTGGGTGAAAACTTAATAATATGTCATGATGCAAATTGTAGTCATCATGACAGCTTTGTCATTTGCTTTTTTGCCTGAGAACACTGAGTAATGCCAAAGGCATGAGTGACAGATGATGTGGGGTGGAAGCACAGAAGTCTTAAGATCAAAAATAAATCAGCTGCTGAAAATATGTTGTGATCACTTGGTTGTAAAAATTTTGGTTATTTGTGACTTTGAATTATGCTTTTTCACTCATAGCAGATTAAATTAGCGTGATAGGTGCATTAAAAAAGGTGCACTCATAAAATAAAACGGTAAATAAAAATGTGACTAAAGCATTATTTCATTTTTTTAATGCTGAAATCAGATGTCCTGATGTGTTTACTTTGCACTAAATCCCTGGTGATGGAGTGTAGGAAGCTGAAAATAAAAAGAGGAGTAGATACTGTATGGATAGGTGAAGATAAAAAATGAAAAAAATTCGTCTACTAGCTCACCAACAAAAATAATAACGGTGCAGGTTTTCTATCTTTGGCTGTATTTTCTGTACCAAAGAAAGAATAGTGGAAAAGGAGAGAGGGAACAGAGGTCGAGGAGAAGAGGTGGGAAGAAGCAGGGCTGCAGACAGGACTATTGGAGTGCTATGGATGCAGTGACTGGGAATCGATGGGAGAGGAAGTGTGCAGAAAGCAGGGAGCAGGAGCTGTGACAGAGGAAGGTGGACTCACCAGGCTGGAACCGCCATATGACAGCGGGTGAGGAGATGAGGAGGAATGGGAGATGGGAGAAGAAAATCTGACAGAGAGAGAGAGAGTTATGAGAAATGGTATGAGACCAGGGCGGGGGAGAAATGGAAAGCAGGAAAGATTGGCAGAGGGACTGATACAGGCCTGTTTGAAGAAGCGAGATGGGCGTCAGACAAGAAGAAGAGAAGAAATGTTGTTTGTGCCATAACCGCTGATGCGTCTCAAGTGATGATTGTACTATCATCTAGCAGGAGATATGCCCATGCAGACTCACACACAGGCTTTCTGAAAGGAGTTGATATGAAAATGTTTTATTTCATAGGACAAACATCCACAGTGTGTATGTTTATCATAGCAATGCAGCATCTATCGCTCTCTTTTCCTTAGCTCTGTGTATATCTTACTTCATCCCACTCTGTGTGCACTGAGGGGTCACTAACTGGTGGTTCAGTGGATTAAAGGAAGCCCAGATGGAGAAGCAGATGGAGAGAGTGATTGGCCATGTTTATGCCTTCTACCTGCGGTGTCTCCCTCCCTTTTTTCCCCTCCCTCGTTCTCTCTCTCTCTCTCTCTCACTCCTTTGTTCCCCCTCTCTCTTCATTAATGAACAAAGATGCTCGCCACGCTCTGGCTCCGAGATTGCTTTTATTTTTTAATGACACATTTTAATGGCGAGTATAATGGGAGTAGTAAAATGACGAATTTGAATTTATGGCTAAGAATTATTACTTTTCAGTCAAAAAGATGACATGTCAAGATTTTCTAGGATAAATTGTGCTTTTTTAAATGTCAACAGGGGTTGATACTCACATCACCCTGCTGCTAGGGCGGTGTGCGTGAGTGCGTGTGAACCCTGTGTCAAATAGTGGCTATTATATTTTTATTGTTACATTGTGACCACTGTGCAAATGTTAGCAGATGTTTAGCCTGGTTTTTATTTATTGAAATGGGGTTTTTTTTTGGGGGGGGGGGGGTTCAGTTGGAGATAGTTTAGTTCATATTAGTATTAGAGTACAAGTGCTTGAATCCCAGTGATGTAGATATCCTGATCCCAATTCCTTGTGTTGGATGTGTCGACAAAGTGACTTAAAGTAGCCTGACATGTTTTTTACTTAACAACTTTGGAAGAACAAATCAAGTTGGAAATGAGGGTAAGAAAGTTAGAAGGCATTGAGAGATGAGCCGGGATCTAATTTTGGGATTTTCGGGGGATCGATGACATGAGAAGAAAAAATGCAGAATGTGGCTGGTCTTATCCTTTACTTATTCTGTTTGTATGGTCCAGCTGGTGTGTGCTACAGGCGTCAAATGATGCAACAGTATGTGACACAGCCAGCGTGCATTGTATCGTCAGTCTTTTTCTTTCCCCAGCATGAACGGGCTTCCATACTTTTCTTCTCACCAACCCTCTATCCTCTGTTTGCCTGGTAGTGAGTCAGGTGCTGTGATGAGGAAAATTTAGTCAGCTGTCTCCCTTATCAGAAACGTGTTCATGTGTGTGCATGCGCAGGGGCGGGTGTATGTGTGGCTGTTAGTTATGTTATGTGTGATATAACAGGCCAACCACCTTCTTTTTTTCCTCAAGTTAATGAGGGTTCATTTGCATTTTAGCCAGGAGCTTCTCTCCTTTTCCCCATCCTCCTTTCCCTCTTTCTTGCTGCCCCCCCCCC